TCATTTTTAAAAGCTTGCCATTTGGGCGAGCTGAAGCCTGGTGTCATTTCAACTAGCCCTGAAAGCTTTTTGACGAGTAGAATTGATTTCACAGTTCTTCTGTTATTTGAATTCCTCAAAAAACATCACTTACCTGTCGGACAAGTTAAGAACAGAATTTACTAGCCCGATCGCAAAATCCACTAGCCCGATAGCAAAATCCACTAGCCCCAGGCTACTGGACACCATTTTCTTTGCACGCTGTCATAGAAATTAAATTTTTGAAATTATGGGATTTGTTGGGATATTTTGAAAGAAAAACATCTGAAAGACCTACTTGCCAAAAGTAGCATTGTGGGGCAAATTGTCTCCGATGACTTCATACAAATGCTTATAAATTTGACTTGATTCCTAATGTTATGAACTGAGCCAAATTTAGAAGGATTTGTATCGAGTCATCAGAGCATAACTGGGCTAATATCTAAAAGACAATTTGCCCTGGAATGCTAATTTTTGGCAAGCAGGCCTTTTGGATTTTGTTATTTCATAATACTCCCCCAAAAATCCCATAATTTACAATTAATTTAATTTTTTATGACATCACACTGTACGGTTCCCAGGGTATGGTTACCAAACATTTTGATACAAAAACATTTTGATGCAAGTTGATTTAGTCAAGGTGTAAATAGTTTCAAGGAATATTCACACCAAATGTTTTTCTTGTGCAAACTGTACTTGAAGTGATCAAAATTCTTGTGCAGTTTCACTGCTTGAGTAATCATACTGAAATGACTTTAAATCAAAACGACCAGCTTCCACTCCAGCTGTCCATCTTAGGGACCAGTATTTGTCAAAGAGAGTTTATTTAGCGTAACATGCCTGAAAAACAAATCTAGAAATGTGCAAGAAGCGAATAAGGGCCAAACAAATCACTCTAGACTATCAAATGTAATAGAGAATCAGTAAACCTTTGGATAGTTTTCAATTTCCTCTGGAGTATACTCAATCAGTCTCCTTGGAAGAGGAGCAGGAGCTTCCAGCTTGGTAAAAATATTCTCCGCGTAAGGATGTTCATCGTCTTCAAACAAGTATAACCTCTTCATCCAAATAGGCCTGAGATTGTTTTTCGGGAGCATGCCATTAACCGCTCGCCATAAGATTCTAGTCGCGTCTGTTCTATGGAGATTCCTGGCAACAACTTCTTTAAGTCCGCCAGGATAACCTGTGTGATGGCGATAAATCTTCTTGTTCCATTTGTTGCCCGTTAGAGCAATATGTTTAGTGTTGGTTACAACCACAAAGTCTCCCACATCCAAAGAATGGTGGTAAATAGGCTTCGTTTTTCCTTGCAGAATCTGCCCTATGAAACAAGCTAGGCGGCCACAGACCTGGTCTCTTGCATCTACGAGGTACCATAACCGTGCATGGGTTGCAAAACTTTGGTTAGC